AAATCATAAATTACATAAAAAAGAGCAGGTATGAGTAGGCACTCCATTACTATTGCTGCATGCTTGAGTGAATCCAAATGTCAGCATTCTGTAGGTGCTGAAAACCCTCAGTGAATGAGGTATAGTCCTGGGCCTGCTCTGATGAGCCCAGTGTCTATGGAACACCCGCCACCAACTTGGCTCTGTGCTGGGGATTCAGTGGTGAACAAGGCACCACCTACCCCCGTGGAATTCACCGCTAGGTGAGGCAGGCATGGGTCAGGGGATGGAGTGGCTGGCAGGGAGACCAGGGGGCTTTTGGAATAATCCATGTAGCAGGTGCCTGCTGAGTATCACAGTGTGCTAGGCACTGAGCTACAGCAGTGAGCCAAATACAGACAGTACCCCTCCCTGTGGGACTTGGTCTAGTAAGGAGACAGGCAGTCACCAAGAAGGATAAGTTACATAGCAAGTCAGAGAGTAATAAGTGCTAAAGAGAAAAGTAAGTAAGGGGAGAGGAGAAATGGGGGAGGGGGACAAGTGGCAAAGGCAAGGAGATGAGGGCACGAGCCATGTAGGTACTGAGGGCAGAGATTCCTAGCTTCGGGGACAGCAGGAGCCAGGGCTCCCAGGTGGGTGGTGCCTGCTACAATAGAGAGGCAATACTGGAGGCTGTGGCTGGGGTGGAGTTGGGGAGGGAAGAGCAGGAGGGGACAGGTGGAGTGGGGAATCAAGGAGCTCATAGGCGGGACTCCAGCTTCCTTGAATGATGGGGGAAGCCGCTGCGGTTAGAGCAGAGGTGACATAATCAGTCCTAAATTTTAATGGGAATTTCTCTGGCTAATGGGGATATTAGAACAAAGTGGGGTGCAGTAAGGATAAGAAGCAAGGACTCTCAGAGGGTACTGCTCATGGTGGCGGCAGAGTTGGGAGAAATGACAGAACTCAAACGAACTGAGGATCAGGAAGCCAAGACCATCAAAGGTAAGACTGATAAACCTGATAGGGTGACACTGAAGATAATTCATGTTTTCTCTTTTGGGTAATTGAATGATTAAATGAGGTTTCTTTAAATGTTGAATTTGACATGTCCATAAGAAATATTGGCTCAGCAGATAGAGTGTTGGCCTTTGGTCTGAAGGGTCCCGGGTTCAATTCCGGTCAATGGCATATACCTTGGTTTCGGGCACATCCCCAGTAGGGGGTGTGCAGGAGGCAGCTGATGGATGTTTCTCTCTCATCGATATTTCTCTCTATCCCTCTCCCTTCCTCTCTGTAAAAAATCAATAAAAAATATATTTTTTAAAAGGAAATATTCATGGATTCTTGAAAAATAAAGTAAAAGCTAAGGAAATCACCCTGGCCAGTTTTTCCCAGTGGTTAGAGCAGGGGTGGGCAAACTTTTTGACTTGAGGGCCACAATGGGTTCTTAAACTGGACCGGAGGGCCGGAACAAAAGCATGGATGGAGTGTTTGTGTGAACTAATATAAATTCAAAGTAAACATCATTACATAAAAGGGTACGACCTTTTTTTTTTTTTTAGTTTTATTCATTTCAAACGGGCCGGATCCAGCCCGCGGGCCGTAGTTTGCCCACGGCTGGGTTAGAGCGTTGGCCCAAAGACTAAAGGGTCTCTCAATTCTTGGTTAAGGGCATGTACTTCGGTAGCAGGTTTGATCCCAACCCCGGTCCCTCACATCAATGTTCCCCCCCTCCCCTCTCCTCCTCTTCCCTCCCTTTTATTTTTCTCTCTAAAAATCAATGGAAAAAATATCCTCAGGTCAGGATTAAAAATAAAATATTTTAAAAAGCTAAGATCTAGGCTCCTGGTAACAGCTTTGAAGGAAGTTAAAACCCTGAAAGTGCATGGGAGGACCCCAGGGCAGAGGCTCCTAACCTCTTGGGAGTCTCCCTGAGAGGTTTATAAAAGTACACCTGTGCTCACAAAATGTTACCTTCCATAGCAGAGCTTTCTTCCCACACCTCTGCCTTTCCGGTGCCTGTGTAACCTACCCTGGGGAAATGTTCATTTGGGTGGGCTTCTGGGCACATCAGCTTGCCCAGCCCTGGGAGAGCAATAGTGAGCAGAGTTTTTATCAGCTGGCTTTTAATTAATGGTAAAATTCAGCTAAAGTTATCTGACCTGTTCTGGGTTAAAATAAGAGAAACCATTGTGCACAACTAGGGTATAAACCTCTGGTGAGCACCCATCAGACCCAAACAAGGTCCTTGTGCCCCATGGTTTTGCAGATCTGTACTAGTTAAAGTTGGTCACAACAGATACACCCTGAAATCTCAATAGAAGTTTAATTCCTGCTCAGTTGGCTGAGACAGACTCTGCTCCAGACATTATTCAAAGGCATGTGCCGACAGCCCTCCCTGACTTCCTCGGGTCACTCCCAAGTTGCCTTGGGCTCAACCTCTAGCAGGTACATAGGGCAAGACAGAGGGTCACTCATGGGAGGCTTTTATGGACATGGCCTGGGTGACACAAAGCACTTCCATCTACATCCCTCTAACCAGGACTCACATTGCAAGGGAGGCTGGGAAATACAGTCTAGCTGTGTGCCCGGGATATAAAGGAAACATTTGGTGAACAGTTACCAGTTTCAGAAGCACAAGGGCATGGGCAGATCAGACTGGCATCTCTGGGCGTCCTGAGAGCCCATCCTGGGCCTGGGTTCTACAGGGTGTTTGAGACAGTCCACCTCCCTCTGCGGGGCAGGGTACTCCAGGCCCCTCACATCCCAGCTCAACTGATCTCTGAGTCTCCCCTGTCACTCCCCAAGAACCCTGAGCCCAACATACTCTCCCCTAAAGTTGGCCTTTCCTTCACTGAACCGTCTGCCCGGAATCCTGTGCCCTTCCTCAGCCTGGTAAACTTCTCCTGAAGCCGCCTTCATTGCGTTATTCCTGATTCATGTTTTTCTGGGCAGTCTAAGCAAATGGCAGAGTGAAGGAAGTATGCAGGGTGGCTCACAGGTGGGAAGGGACAGGAAGGTGGCAGCTTGAGGAGGGTGTATGGCCCAGGCAGCAGACTCCTCAATAGATAGGCAAGGACTCATTCTGTGCCCAGGCGATCTAGCTCAACTCTAGTTGTTTTTTCTGCTCTGCAATCAGTCTGCTAAGGATCAGAATTCCTGAGAGAAAACTCAGTGGGTCCCAGTTTAGGAATTTCAAACACAAGCTGTTTACGAGGTTAACTATCTTCCAAATGGGCTTCTCTCCCCCACTTCCCCATCTCAGCCAGTGGCATCACCCTCTAACCAGTAACCAATTCCTTCCTTCCTTCTGAACTTGCCACATTACAAACCATCAAGTGTACTTTCTAAATGGCTTTACTTCCTTCCACGGTGACCACCACCTGCCCTGTCCACATCTCCATCATTACTCATCCAAAATTCAGCAACAGCCAACTCCCTCTCTAGCCTCCCTCCAGCAGCCAGAGAGGCCTCTTCACCATGTCACCGCTCCGCCTACCACCCTTCTAAGGTGTCCATCCCGTCTAAAGGCTGAGCTCCCTGGACTGGCTTACGGAGGCCCGAGCGGTCTCTCTGGCCTCCTCCCGACCGCAGCCCTATGGGCAGCCTCTCGACGGGCAGGCAGGGCTTCTCTCTCCCCGGTCCCTGCTTGGTGGTTTGTGCTCCTGCCGCCTGGAGGCCAGCGGCACCTCGCAGACCTGGTTTTTGAGGCTTTGCACGCTCAGCTGCATGTACTAGTACCTGGGCCTGCCTGCCTCATCTCCCCGAGCCTCGGCTTCCTCTTCTGTTAAGACAGATGCCACAATGACGATGTGGAAGTTGTGAAGCCTGTCAATATTCAGGCATCCAGCTATTCGTTGAACAGATGTTTATTAGCACCTGCTGTGCCAAGTGCTGCCTGGACACCGCCGACACAGCGGTCCAGCGAACAGGGCCGCGCACGATCTTACCCTCAAAAAGCCAAGAGGAGGAACGCAACTATCAGAACAGGGAGCAGCGCAGGGAGCGCCCTCTCCTTGCAGCTCTACGCCCCTCCTTAGCCCCTCCTCCACCGGAGCCTGCAAGTCTCCCGCGACAAGACGAGACGAGGGACCAGCCTCCGGTGGCCCCGCCCCTTCGACTCTGGACACAGCCAATGAGACCTCGAGGCTGGAACTCCGGAGCAGCCCGGTGGGCGCAGCCATGTGCTGGAGGCTCCGCCCCTTCCTCTCCAGAATATTAGCCAATGAGAACAAGAGGCCAGCTCGGGGGGGCGGGCCTGGTAACGGAAAGGGGCGGGTCTTCCGGAAGCGCCTCCTCAGGCCCCTGGCCCTGGCACGTCGGCGGGCTCTGACGGAACCTGCGCCCTGGCGGAGCAGGAGGTGAGTGTCTCTGACGCCCTTGTGCCGGGCCACCCGCCGGACCGGCAGAACCCCCGCATCAAGGGGCCATCACCCCTCACCTCCACAGCCCACCCAGTCTCCTCACCCAACC